AGTACCTGTGGCAGGCAGGAAGTCAGATAAGGAGAACTACTGTTCTTAAACACCGTAAAAATATTTACACAGAATCAACATCTTAGGTAGCTTGGTCTCTAGTACCAGTGGTTCGTGTAGTGATAATAGTTGTTAATTCTGGGAAAGGTGAGAGAATGGTATGATCTGCTATGACAGGTATTTAACTTTTCCTTCCTTACAAAGTATCATTGATCTGCAGTAGTGAAACATGACTGAAGCCTTGAAATTTGTTTACAAAAATAAAGAATGCTTGAGGAAATAGAAGAAAAGGTAACAAAAGATGTGTGTGTTTTACAAGACTTGGAAGTAAGCCAACGTCATTACTTGGTGAAAATAGTAGGGTTTTCTGTAAATAATCTAGCTAGCAGGTAAATAACTAACATGTGGGAATTGGGACAAAAGAGCTTGTTATAGGGGACCATAGAACATGTAGCCACCGCTCGACTCGTGTATGTTGGATAACCTGTCACTTCAGCTCAGTTCCCCTGGAAAGAATGTACCTGGGAGCAGCACATGGAAGATTTGATCTCAGGATATTTATAAATTATGGCTGGAGGCTCAAAAAATGAGGTGAAAAGGCATAGTCCAGGCTATCAGTGAAATTTTTAGGTGAAAAATAATAGCGATGATAATAATAATAATGAGAATACAACAAGCAGGTTGCTTCTGAGGCAAAAAGCCTTAAAATCATAGTATCTGAAGAAAAATACAAGACAATGTCTGCAGTGCTGAATTCTTCTGTGAGTAACTGCAATGGTCTTCTACGTACCAGACAATCTTCTAGTTCAAAGGAGTTTCAATTCTCTTTTTGTCTGTTTGCTTCTGCACCGTCACCCCCCATTCCTGAAGACAATATTACACCTTGGGGGATAGCTCAAACAATTTGTGCCAGAAGTGTTTGTGAAAACAATGTTATTAGTATCATGTTTGTATTAATTGATTGGATAGAAGAGTTAAAGTTTATACATCTTTTAGTGACATTTTCTTCTGAAACATAAATTTAAATAAGGAACACTTTTAAATGTCCCTCCCAAAAGGATGCTTTTCTTTCCTGCCTTTTGCAACTTTTTTTTTTTTCTAAACAAACTTTTCTCCTCTGAGTCCCTTTGGTTGGTTGATAATGTTAGAGCAGGGTATTGCCTCCTTTTCTCTTCTCCTTAAGTCTGAGTGTAAGGGGAAGGGATGTGTCAAGACAGACACTTGAAGTGAAATAGAGTATTTTCTCTGGACACAGGAACTGAATGAAACCATGCGAGGAGTCCTGTGACATTCACGTAATATGCCATTAACCCTTACTTTGCCATCAACATAGAACTGTAACATTCACTCATGGAAAACAAATAGGAATTTGTGAAGGAGAGCAGTTTCTATTGTACCTAGGTACGGTATTTTCACTGAACCTGGTTGTGTGAGCTACAGTCTGATTTCTGTAAATGTGACTCTCAAGGATGGGCTCCAGTCAGATTTCCCCATGCCTTGAGCTCAGGGCACAGCCCGTGCCCACTCATATGCAAGTGGCTTCTGGAATCACCAAAGTTGAGGAGCTCGATGTCTGGAGGCTTCGGTCCTGTGTAAGACTGAGTGATTGCAGATTACTGTGTTGAAAGTTACAGGTAAAGGAGTAGGTCAGAGTGATGCAGTGCAGCTGCATGACTCCAGTGTCTATAGCATTTTAAAAAAAAAAAAAAGTTAATATTTTTTTTCTTTTTAAAACATCTTGAACCCTTGGGGAGGCTTGATGGTACTAGCAGCTGATCAGAGAAAGGGAAGAGTGGAGGACAGTTTGCCAACATTGGTCACAAGTTAGAGACTTTTAGTCTGCTCTAGTCTGGCCCTCTGCGAACACGGAGGATGAGCACAAGGTTATAAAAATACAGGGTGAGAGTAGCATTGCTGTCTGGAAGGTAAAATCCCTCTTCCAGGATTATCTATATCTGGTTTTGGCCTACCCACAGTGGCAGTTGCCATGTATCTGAGCAGAAACTTGAAAGCACCTAAATGCTGAAGGTTGGTTGGGTTGGTTTTCTTTTTTTTAAAGTGCTGGGATGATTGATTGGCAATAGGAAGGCTTCTGGGGACAGTATTCCTGCCGTAATACGTGAGTTGTGTTTGTGAGAGCATTTGAACTTTCTACACTCCCTTTAAATAAAGCTCACAGCCTGTGGTTATGCAGTGGATTAATAGTAACAGCTGTGGGCTAACAGAGGATTAAAACTGTCTTAGCATATGAGAACATCAGTGATAAAATGCATCTGGTATGAAGTCTCCAAAGACTTATAGGACTGTATGTAAATAGTAAATATGTTTCTATGGTGTTTATCTTCTATTCTGCTTGTGACTGCTGGGCTGCTTTCGGAATTTTTGTTTCTGGGTGCCATGAGGTTAATGATATTTTCAGAGAGGTGGTTATGCGAAGAAGTTGTGTGGGATCTACACAGCCTTAAAACATTTCTACGGTGTGTTTTGTTGGCAAGGTTTTATAACGGTCGAGAGTTTCATGCTTTGCAGAGTGAAAAGAAGCAAGCTAGTTACACTTTGTGCTAGCGCAGCTCTGTTTCATCATGGATTAATTTGTCTCACCTTTTTTCCTGCAGGGATTTGGTAGGGTAGGGAAAGGATTATGAAAGGAAATATGGTAATGTAGTTCAAACTACACTGGAAGCTCAAAAATATTTTAAAACATTTACTCCAGGCTGTAGTGTTCAGTTCAGGCTGTTCAAATCCTGCCTGTGAGGGAAGGCACTGCTAAGTTACAATATCAGCCACAAACAGAAAATCACGTAGTTCCCTCAAGGGATGAGTGGCAAATGGATAAATAATTTTAAAACACATGGGGCAAAGATATTTTAATAGATCTGTCTCGTAAGTCATAAGGTGATAAAAAATGAAAAATTACTTCTGTTCATAGGTTAAGACAACTTACAATAAATAATTCTGGCTTCTGTGACCAAGCATGCACAGAAGTAATCAAGGCTTTTATTTTCTCATACAATTATACAAACTCTTGTCTCATACAAGGTTTGTTACAAGTTAAGAGCATATTCTTTTACCTAATCTTCAAATCTGCTTCTTCCAAAATAAGTTTGAAGCTTTTTGTCTGTAGTGCCATCATACAGACGCCAAGCAGGACTGTACATAGTCTTTTAGTGTTACAGACTCCTTTTATGTTTGTACAATTTTGTTCCATCTGGATAGTGGAACAGAAGAAGGAAGCCTCAAAATCACCTGTGGTGATTCAGAATATTTTAAGACTTGGTATGGAGTCACATAAATACATTTGGTTGCTCTGTTTTTATGAATTCAGTGAATTGTTCTAAGGTACTACCAAATTGCAACTTCTTTATACTGTTTTTCCATTCATTGCTATTCTTTATAGATACGAAAATAGGGAAACATTAAGATGTTCTGTAGGCATGCATCATGTCTTCTGTAAAGTATATAGCTTAAAAGTTTAACTTCTAATATATTCACTATTTTTGAAATATTAAATTCCTCTTGTAAACCAAATAATTGGGATACAGTTGGCTGATGACTAGCTAGGAGAATGTATGTGGCTAAAATACTCCCTTTAATTAGGTTTTTGCATCTTATTTTTCCTATTAAAATTTGCATTTGGCATCTTTTCAACTAATACATCTTTTGTGTTAGTACATCTTTTGTGTTTGTTTATAGATTGTGTAATACATATTTCATATACTCATGATAACATTTCCCAGATGTTCTTCCTAAACACAATCCTCCCCAAATTTAAAAAAAGCAAACCAACTTTGACCTTTTTCTACACTTTCAGAGGATTTGCTTTTCCAATGTGTGCACAGACAGGTCTTCTCCCTTAAAGCGAACCTGTATTTGCCATTTACTTCCTCTTAAGATTGGGTTTAGTCATCTTGGTTCAGCATCATTGTTTCCAGAAAAGTCAATCATACTGCATGCTTAGAGGTGAAGCTTTGAGAAACAATTTCATGCTTGCATGCAAAAATGTCCTAGTATAAAAAAGAAGGAAAAAGGGAAATTAAAGGAGTGTGTGAAATTGGTTTTAAGTTAAGGTTGCTACGTGTGTTTCTGGATGGGTGCTGACAGCATTCTGGAGTCAGTTACTGAGGTGCCCATCTCTCCATAGCAAGTGCAGCTCACCTCACAGGGCTGTAATGTGGACTGAGGCTGAGACCTGGCTTTGCCCGGCAGTCATGCTAATTCAAATGCAGTCATGATTTAAACAGTGATATAATTTGTGATATAATTAAATAGTGATATAATAGTGATACTGTTTCTGCTGTACACTGGCCAAGCAATTGGTGTAAGAGGTTAATTCTGGTTTAGTATGCAGTGTGGTATTTTGCCCTAGGGGTAGGGTATATCTTATGTAAAGCAGTTGACTGAGAAAGTCTTAAGCAAAGCAAAAAGACAGACCTTCCAGGAAAGCTATGCTTCTATAATGACTTTTTCTTCTTAAGTTCTTTCTGCTCCCCTTGATTTGTAAATCTCTTTAACCCGTGTTACAAGTCATCTCTGGCAAGAGAGAGGGGCTGAGCAGAAGTCCAGGTAAAATGTATGTGCAAGACTTGTTTGCTTTCATTCTGCTTTCTATATACTTTTTCCTATACTTCTGGCCCTAGGAGCAAATGACAACAGAAGCCTCCCTCAACTTCCACAAAACTGATAGATTTTTTTTTCAAATCATATTTCTACAAGATTTGCTTATTATTGCCGATTGACCACAGACCCTTTGGGGTATGCTTAAGTTAAAGTAACATGGCAGCTGTAGTTTAATTGCTTATATCCTGATAAGATTCCAGTTCTAATGGTAAACTAGACTAGTTGCAGTCTGGCTGCAGTGGGAAAAAAACCACAGCTAATGTAGATCCAGGGCAGTCGAATAGCATTGTTACAGTATTTTTCAGTATAAGTCTTAAGATCTATGGTTTTTTTTAATCTCTATTCCATTCCCTTTCTTTTCAAATAAAATCTGTGTGTTACAGGCAAAAGCAGCAAATTAACAATTTACATCAGAAGATAAGGGAGAATGAATTACGAGCTCAACACGCAAGACTGAGCCATCTTGTGAACTGCGAAGAACCGTACATGACTAATTTGCAGGTAGGATGGATACTTTTCTTTTAGCAAAGCTTTCCATTGCCCAGTAACTGACACCTGAAAGCATGCTCACAATTTACTGCAGGCCAAAATTTAGAGTTTTTCTGATTATTGATAGTTGTATAATTGTATAGCTGTATACCCTCTAAGTGTTGTAGTTTACCTTACCTTTGCAGAAGTCTACGTTACGTTAACATGTACATAGTCATTTTGAAATCTGATAAGAATGAGGGATTGTGACACTGTAGGAGCAAGGGTTTAACAGCGTGCATGTAGCACAGTTGTACAGGGAGATATTAGGAGATAAAGTAGTTTGATAAGAGAGTATCTGAAAACAACTGGTGGAAGGTTTTCTGAAGAGGAGGAGGAGGTAGTACCCAAAGGAGTGGTTAGATTGTATCGATAGAATAGATGGAAGAGATGTGAGAAGGCAAAGAGTCTGCTTGGAATACCTTTGCACAAGACACCTGAAAAGGATATGGATTGCTAATCCCAGGGAACACTTAGTCTGAAAGGGAATGTGTGGTGGTATTTTGTGCATACCTGTCCTAATTTTTGTCTAACTAGCACAAATACCAAAGTGTAAGGATGAGGTAGCATAGCCTAACCACAAAACGCAGATCAGTTTGAGGACTGTGACTGCTACCCTGTCAGCACACAAATTCCATCTCCAGACCTCAGCATATCTAAAAGCCAATGCAGACAGAGAATGTTAAAGGCAGATATGCAGAGAAGTAGCTTTTCTGTCCCCCTTTTATTACCTTATCTTTTTCTGTCACAAACACTGCACTAGGATCTCAGCTAGCATACTTCAGCATGACGTTAATTATGTCCTGGGAATAACACAGCTGTGCATCAGGTGAGAATCTGGTTTGTGTGAGACAGGAGAGAAATTCGAGCAGAGCCTCGGTGTGAAGTTAGGTATTCAGAAACTCCCTCAGACATCTGGAAGCACCAAAAGCCACATTTCTAGAAGTTCTTTTGTAAAATACTTTCAAATTCTGTCTAGATTAATATTTTTGAAAGAAAAAAAAATTACTGCAGAAACTGAAATTTTAGTGTACATGTCTTAGTACACCATGATACACTTCAAATAAAGCAGCAGATGCATTCATCTTTCATAATTTAAAGAGTTAAAAAAATTTATAATTTATTAGGGTTTCTGCTTCATTTGTGTGCCTTCTGTAAGATTAACTTAAAAATGCAGATCTTCTTTAATGAATGTTTTAATCTCTTTTAATGCTTTGCTGAAGCAATATTACTAGTTAAAAAAACTGTCTCTATAATGTCTTTAAAGATAGCAATTTATGTTATTAAAAGAATCTTGAAACTGAAAGCCTAATGGGATGCATCTCCTTTTTCATCCGGCATGCAGTTGATTTCCATTTTGTGCTTGTCTGTCTGTGGGCAGTGGAGGTAGAAGAGTAATATTGAACTGCATGAAATGGAAAGGGAGGAGAGTTTTGGTACACAGGACAGAAGGTAGGAGGCCTGCCTTCTGATTGGAGCTCTAGTTTCTAGGTCTCTCACCCTTCTGCACCTGAGGTATGATAGCTCTAAGGTTTGACCAGTACTAATGTTCTGCTTTAGAAGGATCTTGAGACTGGAGCATCTTTTACTGTAATATATTCATAGCCATTTTATGGAATGGATTTTTTTCCTAGGGGATGGTATGATAATGCGGTGGCAGTGGTTTGTTTTAAAAACACTTTCTATTTGGATTTTCAGGGGCTTTTTTTGGAAGAAAAGTCACACCTCTTCTACAAATCTGAGGGGAAAGTGTCCCCACAATGTTCATTTGCGTGTGTTGTGAATGTAAAGGTGTGCAGCTTCTTTTATTTTTTTTGCTCCAGATTCCTGAAATACGTGCTGTTACTGCATATTTTAATGCTTGAAAAATCAACCCCACCCTTCCTGACAGTGGAAAAAAAAATGCAGGACTGTTTTCTGCTGTGCTGCTGAAGTATATGGTGGCACGTGTACGTTCATTGTATGATTATTTTATTTCTTTTTGTAAGCAACCACAGTATGAGAGCACACCACTGCAGCCTCACGTTTCAGAAAGATCAACGTCCCACCTTGAGGAGCTTGAGCGAAAGGTTGCAGCAGCTGAGAATAAGGAATTGCAACTCAGTGAATTTGTAAAACAAATTTCAAACAAATCTAGTGAGGACAAAAAGAAGATGGAGGAGAAAGTAAGTATCTTTTATGTTCCAAATTTCCTTTTGACACTGTTATAGCAGCATATATTTTGTTTGCTAGAATGCAACTTAGTATGTAGGTTGCTGAGCTATTTTCAAAAGGTAGCTAAACTATCTGTGATAGAAAAATTGATAGTTAGTGATTGTAGGTGTTGACAATGGATAAATCTAAACTTATAGTGAATACATCCTAACAAGTGATGAAACGGCAATCATGATGATGGCTTTAACCAGGTATGAGTTAAATTTGCTTTGAAGAAAAGCTGCTTAGCTCTAAGAATTCATGTAACCTTGAAGTGCTTGTTACAGTAAATAAAGTATCATTTAAAAACATAGAGTGTAAAAAATGGAATCCCTATTTTTAGCATGGCTTGTAAATGTCGGCCTCATGCTTTGAAATGCACTTACCAGCCTGTATGTGCCTACTCAGCAGGAGTGATTCTCTTGTAGCTTTGCTAGGATGTGCAGAGTAGACTTCAATCTGATACAAGGAAGGGGCTTAGATGCCTCTGTTCTTGGAACTGCCTTGACAAGGGATTCCTTTGGAGGCTGAAGCAATACCCAGGGGTAGTTTTGAATGTCCTGACAGCCTTCCTTTATTGCAAGCAGGAACGTGCCATTGACCAAATGGTTCCTAATTAATGTTTTAGGGATACATTGTCACTGTTACCTTCTCTTCTTTTATCACTGGGCCTTACTACTGGGCTTAGATGTATGTTAATGAAGGTTCAAGGGGTAAGAGCAGTATGATACAGTGCAGTGGCATGTGGGAAGACAAAGAACAACCCATAATTAGTCTCAAATTCTGCCTTACCATTTCCTGTGAACCCTGCAGTATGCTTTTCACTAAGGGTAACGTTCAGGAAGGGCAGACATTGGATGATGCTGCTTCCCCCTGTCTCAGCTTTTACTGCTTGTGTAGGAACTGCTGCTGTAGGTGGTGGCAGTGGTGAGGACCTGTGCAGCAGTGCTTGTATCACCAGGATGGTCTGTAGCTAGGAGCCTGATTCACTGAACAGTCCTAATTCACCACTTAACGCCCATCCATTCTGTGCACTGAGCAAAAGGCTCTCAAGGAGAGAAAGGGCAGGGAGGGAGAGCATCTGTTTCTGTAATAAAATTAGTGCCTGTCTGTTTGAGGGAAGACTGTTGAGGGAGGGAGGAAGGAGCTGTGCTGTGTTCCTGCAGGGATGTGGCAGGCTGGTAACAGGAGCGGTAGGCTGGGTGCTGAGTCTGGGGATAGCCATCTCCTGAGTTCCACTGCTGTGCTCACAAGGAGATCAGCCCAGAGCCCAAAAGGCTTGGTGTCCCAGGTCAGGGACTGATACTACAGGACAGAAATACAATTTCTGTGCTGATCAGAGGGATTGTTGCCAATAGCTGTGCTAGGATTGTTTCCGAGTGAATGCCTGTCTCTTTGGAGAGGGTAATTTTTTTTCATCCCAGAGACAGATTTGGCCATGGAGTGGGGGAAATGCTGTTAACATTCAGGTGAGCTTTGCTTGTAAGTGTATGCCTAAAAGAACACATAGAAGTTTAGGTTCAGGTTGCTGGCGTGCATTTCTACTTCTCTGTCTGCTCCACTTTTGCAAATAATATGTTTTCCTACATTGGGGCTTTTAACATAGAATATTTAAATACAGTGTACAGATGGTATGTTTTTGACAATAAGGGACAAGCTGTGACCATTCAGTGTAGGTGGGAGGAAAGAAAATGTAAGGAACACTCCTGTTTCCTTGACCATCTTTTGTCAGTGGTGAGAAGTCTAGGAAGAGTCTCCCTCATCATAAAGCCAGGATGTATTGGAACTGGAAAAGGTTCAGAGAAAAGCAACAAGGCAGATATCCATCAGAAAATCACAGAAGGAATGAAGTGACTGAATGGGATCATGATAGAGTCTGCAGAGCCACAAGTAGACTGGAAAAGACAGAGGGAAGTCAGCTCCTCACTGCAGCTCCCATTGCAGGAGCGAGGGAACATCTAGTGAAGCTCTAGGAGCCAAGTACATGATTAGCAAAAAGACCTGATTCCTCATGCCAGTTCTCTATAGCAAACCTGTAGATTGTCTCTGTGAAGGCTGTTGTGGATGCTACGAGTATAGGTGGGCTCAAGGGAAAAATGAATGAGTTGATGGAAGTGCTGCCTCGTTCTAAATGAACAGAAATGTAACTGCCTTAGGAGAGCCCCTAAGGTGAAAGCACTTAGGCTTGAAAGGTGAGGCTGGAAAAATGTGGTTTTCTTGGTCTTACCTATGCTAGACATCTGTTTATGGCCACTGTTGGAGATGAGATACTGGGCTAGAAGGCCTCTTGGTCTGAAGGTGCTGTGTCCCTTCTAATGTTAGGGTGGATGAACTTGATGCTTTCCTTTTGAGAAACTGCAGGGACAGCAGATATCAGAGGTCCTCTTTGCTCACTGCTGGCATCATATTTGTATTTGCCCCATACAGACATACCAAGCAAAGGAGTATTTGTACCACCTCACCAATAATACTGGTGCCTGAAGAGGTGTGTTTTCCCCTTGGCTCCGTGTGTAGTCAGCGTAGGACTGAGGTGACTGAGGGCTCTTCAGTTGGCACTGAAATTTCAGAAGCCTGACAAAGCTTCCCTGTTGTGGCTGGCTGGTAGTCATGGTAGCTCCTCACAGCTGCCTAGCTGAGGGAGCCTGATAAGGAAGATACTGCAGTACTCTCCACCGGTGTCCATGTCATGAGTGCCTAGGTTCTTCCTTTCCCTTATGCCAGGCATGAATGTGCCTCTTGGCATCTGTAGATTTTGCAGCCCTCACTTTAGTTCTGAGGCATTTCATCTGGAAATTGGACTGCTGGGCTGGAAATGGTTCAGTTCAGACACCCGTACCCTGCTGGCTACTCCTTCTCCCTCTGCTGTGGGTAATTGTGAAGGACTCCTGAAAGGTATTGCTGATAGCTTGTAGCAGTGTTCTCCCCTATGATTTCTGTGGCCTTGCTTTTAGTGTTTAATTGCCAAGGGGCAAGAGCTTTCCTATTTTTCCTGCCCCAACAAAGTCATCAGCGGTGTATGTATGAAGGAGAAAATGAAAAAAAACAAACCCCAAAGCTTGTTTTCCCCTCAGCAGAGTGAGCAAAAGTGAATGGAAAAAAAACAAACCCAACTTCTTTTTTCCCTCTCATGTGAGAAAAGGTAGAAAAAGTCCTTGGAGTGATGCTGAGGATTTAGAGAGGGCAGGGTGCAGTCTAAGGCAAACCTGGTACCTATTAGGAGGAGAAGGATTTCAGGAGAGGAAATTCCCTATGGTATGTATGCAAAACAAGAAGAAGATTTGGAAACCATGTCGTCATTGTCACACAAGTACTGGAGTATTCTGACTGTTCAACTTGTAATCCTTAGTGGTATGTGAGAAACAGAGGGAAGGGATTCACTTACATAGTGGTCAGACTCCTGGTAATTCTTACTGTGCAACGCTGGCTTACATGTGTGTTTTTATATTACTGCCTTAAGACTTTAGGGTGTGGGGGGAGTTTGTGCTTCTGAAGCACGTATTGTGGCAAAAGGTCATGGCTGAGTTGCAATGTTGCCTTCCTGAATGTGGGGTTTACTTGGACTTTGCCTAATTGGAAAGGTTTTAAAGCAGCCTGAAATCTTTGTTCAGTTTTGAGGTCTTAATAAAATAAAAGATATAAAGATTTCCGACCTCTTGGCAGTCCTCATTTTCATGGCCCATATAGAGGGTTATTGACAGTTATCTCTGGTAAAACTTTCCAGATATTATTGACTTAAACTTTTTGGTAGGCTCTGTTACTGATCTCTGACATTGAGAGTGTCACACATTTATTTCTCAGTGAGATGGATGTCTGTAGCGCCAAAATAAAAGTACGTTTTGCATTTACTGTAGTTGACAAGAGTGTGTTATCCGTGAATTACTACACCTTGGTTCAAGCAATAGAGATTCTGTTTTTCATTAAATTGTACTATGACTGGGAAATACTCTTTTTCCTGTCTTCCTTCCCCTTTTTTTCACCTAGGTAATAAAGGAAAGTAAGTACCAGGAGTGCAAGCAAAGATAACACAATATAAAAAGACTTTTGCAGGCTGATGGACAATTAAGATGCCTGTAGAAAAGGTGCTTTAAGAAAGCCACTAATTCTGTTCTTATGACCTCTGATGTAATTGTCAGACTCCATCAAAGTCAGGTTTTTCACTTCAGTTCTTGTTGGGTTAAGTTCTTAAGTCTCTGTACTTTAAGGTGTTTTCCTAGGCCAGAGGAAGAAGGAGGACTAAAATATTTCCAGATCATTTGTTGCCTATGTACATCCCCATTGGTGAAAATATTAAGACTATTTTAACTGTTGAACTGTCGTGTTTTCAGTTCGCAAGGCTGAAACGTGGAGTGTTCTAGGCAGAAGTGAAGCAACTGTGAAGTCACGTGTGTCTGTGACTTGGAGCTGCTGGCATTAATCATTCTTGGGTTTTGTTTTCTGCGGTAACCAACCCTTTCATGCAGTTGAGAATACAATTCTTGAAGAGTGGCCAGCCTCTGCTTCTAAAGCAGGTTTATTTTTCACTGTAATCATAAAACATATACTCTTATTTTCTTCTAGCTTAAAACTAGAGACCGATATATTAACAGCCTGAAAAAGAAATGCCAGAAAGAGTCTGAGCAAAACAAAGAAAAACAAAGACGAATTGAAACCTTAGAAAAATATCTGGCTGACCTACCAACACTGGATGATATAGAAGGACAGACTAAACAGGTAAGGTAAAGGGAGTTTGTTTTACATTTTATAAATACAAGTAAGCTCCCTAATTTCTGTTGTCAAATCTTTTACTGTTTCAACATATATTTTTTCCCCCATCTGTTCAGGAAGAGAAATATTTCAATGTTTTAGAAAGGACTGTAGCTGTTAGAGATTCTCATACTCAGATAAGTGAAATAGGCCTAAGATTATACAGAAGGTAACTGCAAGGCTGTGGCCACCCACAAGCCCTTCTGCTAATGTGGCATCGTGTCTGACTAATGTAACCTGTGTTAGCTGCAAATTCTAGAGGAGAAGAACAAGCAGCTTCAAGAAACTATGACTGAGTTAGAAAAGAAGCTCGGAGAGGCCCGATCGCAGTGCAGAGAGAGAGAATTGCAACTGGTGTGTCAGAAGAAAAAAGAAAAAGAGCTGGTCACAACAGTACAGAGGTATGAACAGCTGCTTGGGCTGTGCCCCGAGACGGGTGTACTTTCCCACCTGATGTCAAGACCTAATGTTATTTGCACTCTTAACCTATTACAATGCCAATGCTTTTTCATGGCATAAACATATTACTGTGCAGAGTGACAGTGTAATTCAATAGAAAATCTGACCAGATTTTAATTTGTGTCAAGTAGCAAGTAACACCCCAGAGAAGTCTGCCTAGGACACTCTTCAGTATCTTTTTTTAAAGATAGGGGACACCACTGCAATGGCATCATAGCCTGCTGCTGGATAGAGGATAGAATAAACGTGTGTGGCAAAGGGGCATTGTGTAGAGGCTGTCAGCACTCTTATTTGATAACAAATCCTGTCACAAGCTGTGGAAAAGCTCCCTGGATACTGGCTGATGGATGTATCAAGGGAAGGGTCAAAGATTTAAATAAATTGTAGCAGTTTCTTACCTTTTCACTGAGGGTGGGGGCATTTACAGGGAGATTTAGCTGTAGCTAATCTGCTGCCATTGAACTTGTGTAACTATGAAAAAACAAATGGGAGAGAGACCCATGAGAAGATTCCAGATGAGACATGGAGACATTGTTACTATGGTACATTTTAGATCAGGGAAGCTACTTAAAAGTTTATATAAAAAAAAAAACCAAAAAAACCCCCAAAAAAACCCCACAAAAACCTGGAGCGGGGGGGAGGAAGCAGGGGGCAATAATAATTTATGTTGTAACATATTTATGATGTTACTACAGTTCACTGTCCCTCCATTGGGTAAAGATGCATGCCACAGGAGTCTGAAAGTGTTTCCATGATGAAAGGCAAGCTGGTTGGGACACCTTGCCAGCCAAATTGTTGACGCATTGTTTCCATCTTACCACTGAAAGGCCTTTTTTCTTCGTGCCCTCATAACCTAGAGGGGGATCATTTTGTCTTTTCTGAAAGCCTACAAATAGTTGAGGTGGCCTCTGGTTTCTAAATTAGACAGAAAGATTAACACCAATAAAATGTATTTCCTTTCTGAGAGAAGGTGAGCTGGCAAAGCTCTAGCTACATCTAGGAGCTTGAGTTGAGCTACAGAGGTTCTGAAGGTCATGCCCTCGTGTGAGAGCAGTTGGCAGGAGTGGCTTTATGCTCCCCCTTACAAGTGACAGAAGGCATAAAGTACAGGCCACCAGTACTCGGTGCAACCTCCAGTTCTGGACTCTGAGTTGTACGTACACCAGTGAGAGTCTGATTTTAAAGCTCCTGTAGCTCCGAGAGGTTTGAAGACTCCTCTGATCTATGCTGGTGCTGGCTTTGCCTCCCCCAGTAGCTCAGAGCAGCTGTGAACACCACAAAGCTTTTCTTTGCTCCTTGGTGCCCTCTCTCCCAATGCCATTCTGCTCAAGCTGTGCCTTTTGGGAGATGCAGCACAGAATCTGGCCCATAAAACCATTCCTGTATGAATCTGTTCTTGTCAGCGCCATGGTAACCAGTAATTTAGAATGTTTGCATCATTTGTCCCCGTTGGTTTGCTCATTCATAAGGCTGGATTTGGCTAGGTACGGTTTTACAGCTCTGGTTGGAAGATGGTGCAACTTTCTATTTAGAACACATAGCCCTTCTGGTTTCTGTCAGCACACCTAATTTTTCTTTCATGTTGAATGACAGTTTACAGCAGAAAGTAGAAAAATGCCTGGAAGATGGTATTCGCCTTCCCATGTTGGACACAAAACAGCTGCAGAGTGAGAATGAATGTCTCAAAGAAAAGAATGAGAAAGCCAGTAAGGTTAGTCTGCAAATGGTCTGCTGGTGGAATCTTTAACCTTGAGTCCTGCATTTCTTTTTTGGTTGGGTTTTTTCTTTTTTTTTACTTTAAAAATAAATATCTCACTAAAGAATTATACAATTGTTGCTAAGTCAGATTTCTTTTCAGTACTAGCCTGTTTCTTTTCAGTACATTTATTTTGCACGAATGAGTTAAACTCTGTCTTGTCATTTACATTTTCAAAGATTCTGTTTAAAACCTATGGCTACACACCTATAAGCTGATTTTTAAAAAGGGATCTGAAGAGATTCAAGCCTTTTAAATTACTCAATTTTATATTCCAGGTCATAGACAATCAGCAAAATCAGATAGCTGGACTGATTTTGGACATGCAGGTAAGGTCTATATTCTGGGTTTTTTCTGTCCATTTTTAGTTCATAAAGGTAACATTACTAAAATTTAATTTCATCCTTTTATCTTCTCAAATAGGAGGCAAAGGTAGAAATGCCAGGAACTTAATCTTAGGGCCTGTAGTTGCCTTGTATTTCTTGCAGGGTCATAGTGTATTCGTTATTGATGTTTTATGGCTTAGCACTTTGCCAATACTCACCGTAAAGTGAAAAGCTTGCTATATAGCATCCTTATTCTGCTGATCTAGTGGATGTCATATCAGAACTGCCTGTTATCAAGTGTGAGGACTGCCTCTGTAAGGAACAGTGAAGCCTCCCATCTAACTTTGGGGTTCAGATGGTCATCCAGAGTACAAAAAGTGATACTGATTAGGAGCTTCACTGCTGTGATCCTTCGTAAAGACAGGTACCTGGCTAAACCATACCACTTCACATTTCACATCGTTTAAGCAGCTCCCTGTTCGACAGGGTTTTGACATGTCACTCATATCTTAACTCTCTTGGCGGATCTTGGGCACCTAGCTTGGAGCCAAGGATTTTTCAAGACAGCAGGGGCTGTCAGCTAGGAGCCAGCTTGTGGATCGGATTAACACATCAGGCTCCTGACACTTGAAAGGTACTTAGAGACCAGTGTTTGTTGTGGAGAAAACGAAATATTATACAGGTTATAAGGAAGAGGGTGTGACCTGCCCTAGAAAAAGCTGGGCATTTAAAAACAAAAAACCACAAGACAGACATCTGTTTTCAGCAAATACTGAAGACAAATTCAATAAATTCTAGTTTTTGCATTCTATTTCTAGAATGGCATTTGTCTCCACATTTTTTGCTTCCTTGCCCTCCAGAAAGACTGAAGTTACAGGGCTGTCCCTTGAGAATGAAGAAGGTGCTTCTGCTTTGGCTCTGTGTGTGTTAGTTTTGGAAGAACAACAAAATGGTAGTAAACAATCAGCTGAATGCCTGCTCCTTCCAAAGTGGAAGGGAGCACTCTATGGAGCTAGAAGAGCTAGAATCCAGATAAAGAAGAGACACAGAACTGCTTGCATAACACGTGCTAAGAGAAGGTAGTTTATTATTTCCACTTTGCACACTGGTGCCAAGTTTGCTTATTTGTGGCTGTTAAAAGTAAGTTGTCTTCCACCATTAAATTGCTTCCTTTCTCTACCATACACGTAAATAGCAGGCCCGATTAACAACCATAGTTTTGCTTAATTAAATTATAATGTATTAAATACATCTGTAGAGAAGCAGTAGGGGAATTTAAGTTGCAACGTAACATATGTCTGTTAACTGAAAAGCAAAATCAGTCATTTAAGCTTCTATAGGTTTGAAGGAGACAAAATCTATCAAATTGAGATGTTTTCATGGAACAGCCTGTTATAGTCAAACATTGTGACACAGACAAATGAAGTTTTGGATATTTCATAATTAAAAAAAATAATCAAATTGAACTCCATAACCTTTCTGAGGTTCTCTGTCCTTCTTTGTAGTTTAGTTAAAAATATTTACATATAAACTATGTGTATATGTTGTGCTTAACTTTCTGATCTTTTTCTCTCCACCACCTTTATCTTGAGACTAATGATCTTTGTGCATGTTTATACAAATGGCTGGTTTGTGTGCTTAGTCTGAAAGGACTTTAGGGAGCTGAGACTGGGAAATGCTGAGTAGTTGTGACAGTCTGTGAACAGAGTACTGTTCTGTTCTCCAAGACTTCTCTTACTTTTCCTCTTCTAAGGTATTTTATATAAGGACAAAAAATAAGATTTGAAAATGGTGTTAGCCCTCAAATTACTTGTAGATTACAGCAGCTTCTTTGTATCCTTGATCTCCCCTCACCTTACACATTTGTTCCCTGGGAAGCATTGAAAATTAGTTCATTAGAAACTGAAACCCTTATCAGCACAGAGATACAATTTATCTTCAGCTCAGATGATCTCATTTTATTCCCGGTCTTCTGCCACATTGTAAACTTATGCTTGAGAATGTATTTCGGTTCATTGTTTTTAACTTGCAAGCTGAAAACAAAGAAATTCTGGTTTAGGCAGCAGTGTATGAAGCAGTACTAGTTAATATTTGCTCATAATTGTGATGGAATGATTTTGATCTTCCTTGCATGGTTTTGCTTGGTTGATTTGTTCTCCTGGGCGTGAGGGATTAAAATTCGGGTTGGTCTTGACAAGATGTCATGTTGCATATATAGTACATCTTCAGAAAGAGAAAAATTATAGATCAGAGTGATGTTTAAAAAATCCTTATCTACATGATCAATTTAGATATCACAAAATTAACAATTTTTGGTACGAAAAAGACAGTAGAAGTCAGATTGTACGATGCCTGTGTGACCCAAAGTACATCTGTCGGTCCTGTCAGTCACAATAAACCAAATAAACTCAAACTCTGCCAGGCTGGGAGTAATGACACCAAATTGTAGCTTTGGAAAGCATATGGAAAAGGTAAGGATGAAGTACAGAGGACTCATAGCACTATGAGCACTGAGAAATCATAGATAGCACTGTGGGCTCAGCCAAGCTGGTAAGCACCTGTGCTTTTTCTGAGCTTTAAGATTAGGGTAGCAGAGAATGATAGATGTTAGGTATCTTTTAGACATAAACACATATTTCCACTTCTAGTCATTCCCGTTAAGTGGTGCAACTCATAAGCTGAACATGTGCACATTATTTGGAATATTCTAGAAGGATTTTTTTGGAGTAGTTTGCACCGTCATGTAAATTTAATAGCAGACATAGTTATGAAAATACACTGGGGAAGGTCGTATTTCTGAACTTGTCTTCCCCACCACCTACCCACCCTCAGGAAGGCTGCACAGTCAAACATTTAATGTCTGGCCTTGACACAAATGTGAAACGTGTAAGTGGTAGTACTAATGCATGTATTGTAACTGGGGCTTTTGGTGTCCCTGAGCTTGCTTATGGAAGAGAAGTGTATCAAAGACTATTAAAATTTGAAGATACTTGGAAGCTGGGAGGGTATTTTGGGCACCAGCTATCACTATATTGCCCTGTTCTCCTCCTCCTCCTCCCTAAGCATCTTCTCTTTGGACGCAGACAGACAGACCTAGAGGGACCTTCAGTCTGACCCAATATTGTGATTTTTCTCAGTACACAACGTTTTTAAAAAAAAACTAAAGAAGGTGGTTCAACACCACTCCGAGTTCAGCACATCAGCAAGCACGACAAAGGAAATGCCTGAAAGCAGAGCTGTTTCCTGCCCTCTCCCTGCCCAGGGTGTTTCCTTTGATGTGGGGCAGGGCCCTCTTTCTTCCTCCCCTTCCTCCCACTGGAGTGTGAAGCTGTGCTTTCTTGCACAGCTTATCTTTAGGATGCACATTATTTCAGCAATTCCTTTGGAGGGACACGGTGTGGGTGAACTGAGAAGCAGGTCAAGTTTGTGAAAACCGTTTTAAAAACAAGTAGTCATTTCTGGGTTCTGCCTGCTGATTGTTATTACTTACTTGAAAATAAAATGTGGATTATTTTTTTTTTTAGTCCATATTAAGTGTGTAAATTTTAGCACCATTGTTTTCCAGTTTTGCAAAGGGTATGACAAAGTACTGGCTTTTCTCACTGCTTCTGCAGTGTTGAGCTGAATGAATGCGTTGGGAAATTTTGTCAAGGCTGCACACCTCCCACGAGCGGCCAGACCATTGAAAACTCCACTCAGTGTCAGCCCTGCCTTGTCTCTCATCACTCCCTGCCTTTTCATCAGCACTAATAATTCTTATAGCTGGCAAATCAATTAAATGGCTTCTCGTCTGCTCAGTAGGCCACATACATGGTAAAGGGCAGGCCTGTATGTGGCAGCCTCCTATATGCTACAATCTTCAGTACTGGTACTCTGGAGGTTCCACTCTTTATGCATCTTAGGAGCAACTCACACAGCTAAATTGTTTTCCTAAGACCCCAAAACCAACATAGCTTGATGCAATTTGCTGTGATTCTGGCGAGTGGGGAGCTTGGGGTTTTTTTCTGTCTTTGAATAAGGTTGCAGAGTCATAGTGCAGCAATTTAGAGATATCTTTTACTAAAGAGTGACTTTGATCTTTCTATAGCATCTTACTTAAGTTACCATATTCCTTGTGAGGGTTGTCTGCTTTGGAAGAAGAATCATGAGGATTGTTCCTACAGAGATTCAAGAAAGCACATTCTTCTGGGACAGTGTCATTTCATAAATTGAGAGCCATCGGTTTGTGAAATGCAACTTTTCCTCCTGCCATCATGGTCTCTGGTTCCACTCTGTGGAAGGTTACAATGAGAACTGTGCCAAGGCATGCACCATTGTCACCAGTGCTCCAGCTGTATTTTGAGCATGATGAGATTGGATTTGCATCTTATAATTGGAATTGGGCAACAGGTTTTACATATTAACGTGCTGAGCTAGGGATGAGAGGACACTTTATATGCACTGTGCTAGCACAGTATTGGATTTGTGAGCAATACCATTAACCATAAAAGAGGATTTTTTTTTTTCTTGATGAAAGCTGAAAAGATCTCTCTGTTTTAAAGCATCAGGAGTTTATATAATCACTATTCATTGTTATTAGTATTCAGATAGGTGATTTGAATATTCCTATTTCTGAATTTTGCTAGATGACCTTGAAAGACATATCTACAGATCTAAAAGCCAACTAGTGGAATAAATATGAGTGCTTTTAACAACAAAGACACTTGCGGTCATGCTGAATTCACCCCAAAAAATCCATTTTGGAAATATCTCATGATTTCTCAATTTCAAATCTGTAGGTGAAAACTGGAGAATTGACAGCAGCTGATTCCGTGTTGCAGCAGTTGTTTGTTGCTGCTTATGACTGATCTGGCAGTCAGTCATGAAAAGCACCACTACTTAAGTACAACAGCATCCTAGAAACTTACTGCTGTTTTCATTACTGAAAATAGTAATTATTATATCTGTTTAAAATTACACTATAAATGATGAATGTTACTTTTTTGCCTTCAGTTGTTTTTTCAGCACAGTAGACTTGTATAGACTGTTCTTATCTTGTATGTGAATGGTTTTAAGGAGCTTGCTGCTCTGTATCAACTGTCAAAGGATTTCTTCTCAGCTGTATAGAAGGTGAGGTGAATTCTGTATTGTGAAAGGTTGTAGCAAGCCCTGCCATGGTCTTCGTGGAAAGTAGAGGCCAAAAAAAATGTTCAGTTACAACCTGGAATTGTATAATTGAAGCTTAGCTGTCATTAATCTGCTGCTTGTTTCAAATGAAATTATTTGGCTAGAATAAGCAATATTGCATGGTTATTTTAGACTTTGTGCATATATATAGTCTTTTTGTTTCTAAACAGATACTGCTTATTTAAAGGGTTTCACTGGTATTTGGAATAGCTGTGTTAGTATAGAGAGAGCTGTTGGGGTCCAGTTTAATATTACCAGGTGAACATGGTAGAAAATAAAAATTTAAGAACTAATACAAAAACAATAAATAACTGAAAATTAGAAATTTAACGAGGATGTCTTTTTTGTCAGTGCTAATATAAAGTATGAAATTTTTAAATCATTACCTGTGTTTTCATTCATTTTAGTCTATGCAAGAGAAGCTTTTGCAAGAAAAGCTAATAGTTCAGAAGATGAAAAATGAGCTTGAAGAAAAAGAAAGGAATATAGAGCAGTTAAATAAAACTCTCTCTGAAGTAAGTAAAAACTCCAAAAACCCAATCTCTGACCACACCAGCTGGGAAGAACCTTATAGAATGATTATAAGATCTCATAGTGTGGCTTTATGAGCTTAATTGTATACTTGACTGTGCTGGCTGCTGTTCAGATATATAATAGATACCATCTCTACCTCAGGAAGTGAGAACTTCAAGGGTGAAGGCTGCTGAGCAATGGTAACATGACATAGCCATGTAAAACTATCTGCCGTTCTTTAGAGGGGTACAGAAATACTGATTACAAGTATGGAAATTAATTATTTTTAATTATATGGTTTGTGGTTTGAAGCAGGAAGCTTTCTGCTACAATGCATGCTGCAGACTAACTTTCCCCTTTTTCCTATTTACTTTTCACAAAGAACCAAAGACTGATGGAAGAGAATGCCTCCCTGAAGGAGCAGATATGGCAGGTGGAACAGTCCAGGCAGCCAGTATCTGAGAAGATGCCTATTGCAGACCAGTTGTTCAAGGAAATGTCTCATTGCTTGTTTGACTTGAAAGCACTGTGCAGTATTCTTACCCAGAGAGCTCAGGGCAAGGAGCCTAACCTTTCCTTACTACTGGGAATCAGATGTAAGTGATGTTGTCATTCCAATGTTTAATAGTGTTTTGATGCAGAGGAGTTTAGCTAGTGGTGCTTGAACTTGCCAGCTGGGCAGGCCAGCGTCCCCCTTGCTACGCAACTGGAGCAGTTGTGCGTGAAGCGTACTCCTGGAGCTCTCTGGAGAAGCTGGGCTTTTAGTGCACTTGGGCTGCTAAGTATGGCTACACAGGCCCTTGCCAAGTCAGGAGAGAAGGTAGCTGGCTCTTCATGTGGACCCAGTCATGGATATGTTCACCCCCCTAGAAGAGAAAGGTGTGTAGCCAGGTGTCTGTCCCTCCTGAGACATACTGCAGTCACTCTGAGGGTTAATGGGTGCTTTTCTGTCAGATGTATTCTGCCGTATAAACTCATGGGGGAGGTGAGGCATAAGCAGGCCTGGTCTGGCTACATTACATATTTTTGGTTTAAAGCCCTTGGGGTCAAGTGGTAGGAATATCCATCTACTGTTTGAACATGTGCATGTATGGTTTGGGGGTGAGGGTGTCTGCGTGTATTAGATAAACCTAGTGCCAGGCAACTCCATCTCCAGTACTGTTAAAGGCACATCTAGTCTTCAGCACTTACTAAGCTGTTAAACTTAACCAGAAGATGAGAAGCACGCTCTAAAGCCAGTCAGACAAAGCTTCAGCATAGTGAGTTTGTGTTAGGTCTTTTAACAGGCTTAATAAACAATTGCTTTTTTTTTTTGACCTGATTATATCTTATTCTATTGTTTTCTGGGTGTTAATTAGAATTAATCAGATAGACTGGTTGCTGAACTGCACCATCAGCAAGGCAGAAAGGTAACAGTATAGAGTCTTGTGCAGCAAGAGCTACTACACGCCACATAGACTCATCTGCGCTGTAGCCCCCTGAAGTACTGGGGAGTGCAGCGTATGCCAGTTTCAAAGTCCATGAGACCATCATCAGCCAGCAGAATGAATAGTGCAGCTTATCTGTAGTACTGTCTTATCTCACATGGCCTCATTTCCCAGGCCCTCCTACCTCTCTTTTCTGAGTGGCTAGAAACCTCCAAAATCTCTCGAAAACAGCTGTTCTAGCCAGTTTTTTTCACTGCTGTTGAGATCCATTGGACTTTAGCAAGTGTGGATCTTGGTGCAAACACAAAAGCCTGTCTTTCAGAGAAGCAGTGATGGACTCTCAATTGACTTTAAGTTCACATGGTACCACATTTTGTTGGCTTTTCATCATACTAAAGCATGAATTCTCTTGATGTAAGTAAATTAAAGTGACCTACCCCTTTTTTCAAGGGGAACTGACTAGTTGAAGTATTCATAAAGTGCAGTTTCTAGAGCTTTAACCTTGGGTGTTGTTTTTCGTAGCGCTGAGCTGTTCAGCTGAAGAGAATGAAAATTACCACAGCACAGAAACCCTTTCGAAGAAGCTCTTGGACGTTTGTCAGTTACGAAAGGATATTGATGAGTTAAGGACTATAATGTCGGACCGTTATGCTCAGGACATGGGGGACAACTGCATTACTCAATGACAACATTTCATGTAGTAGCAAATGACTGATTAAATGCTGCTGTGTCACAGGTCTTTGCATTTCTATTGAGGAGCCATATTGGAAGACTGCAAATAGCGCCACACGTGCATCTCTCTGAGGATTGTGCATATTTAATCTCGGGAGTCTGGTGGGGATGGGAGAGTCATCGTTTGAACAGAGTGGTACAAACTACAAGAAATCTTTTCTCCAAACTACTGAATGTGGGAATAAGCTGTGAAGAATGATTCAGTTGGATACTCTGTTTCCTTTGTTAGGGCTCATTTTATTACTTCACCTAGTTTCTGGAATCGGAGCATCAAAACAGCTGTGCTGCTGCTACTCAGTCCTTTCCTTCATCAAGGGTTTGTATGGCATTATCTGTGTTCTGAAATTAGAGCAGAGGGTCGAAGCACCTACAGCTGTATGTGATTAAGCCAGAGGCTTCTGCAACTGCACTTCGCTCTAGGAATTGCAATTGGAACAATCTTGGAGCACTACAAAAAGTATTTGCTCTTCAAGTTGCCTAAAAAATTTGATATAGGAAAGATGTTATATTTAGTAATGGATGCCCAGCTTGTTTGTCCAATAGTGGAAGAAAACCAAGTTTTAACTCCTTTATGCAGGTGAAGTCCATAAAATACAGTGCTACCAAATTGTTTTAAGCATTCTCACATTGCTGTAAGAAGTTTCAATAATATCAAGTCCATGACAAACCCAGAGAAGCTGGAAGGCATGAAGCTGCAGCGTAGTATGTGGCTGTCAAAATAGACTGTATTTTACTGTTTGTACCATGCTTATTTTTCTCTTTGGTCATCTCCATTTTAAATGTGGCTGGTCTGTGGTCCATCCCTGAAGGCTTCTGATGACATTGTGAACCACCTCAACCGTTTTTTACCAGACCTACGAAACGGGTGTTTGGCACTTGGCAAAAATCAGGGCTCAGAACAGAATGTTTCCACTTAGCAGTATTAAGTACTCCGTTATCTGAGGACTGCAAAATTTTCCACGTTGTTTGGGAATTCTTGATTTCTCCATTTATGTAGGAAGCAATTACATTAAAAAAATAAGATCATGTTCCATAGTTTATTCAGTGAGTGTCATTTGGCAGTGCTGTTTCACTCCCATGGGGCAGATGATGTATTAGCGCTTCTAATTTCCTGGAACATTACTGCAAGTTAGCTGCACAGCTATGTGTGATGTCAAATAGTAGTTAACTGAAGGAAACAAAAACTTGCAAAGAGAAAAACCACTCTCAAATCACACGGTTTAAGAAAATATATGAGCGTCAGTTAAATATATGGTATTAAAAGAAAGTTTCCAATGACTAAGGTGCAAGTCAGTCAGCTGACCCGTAGTGTGGATAACAGCAGAAATCTCTCAGAAAGCGTAGCGGTTAGAACCAAATAAATTCTAGGGTAACATTTTTATGGCAAAAGTGTTAGTGTCTTCAGTTTTCTGATTATATTTATGTTAGTAGAAAAAAAAATGGTATAGCAATGTAGACTGGTTACAAGTTTTAACTTGGTGATGTTTTGCTTTCTGTTGATCATTAAACAGTTACTGTTAATGTCGGTTTTATAATTTAGTGATTTAATTTTTTTTAGCTCTACAGACTTATTTATTTGACATTCTTCTTTATTCTGAACCTACATGTGGACTAATTTGTGAAAAATAGTGTTGCTATTTATATTATTGCTACATGGTGTTTTCAGGTAGATTAATGTGACTGGTTCAGCTCCTGTGAGCACTAAAACAGTGTCTAGATGAAATCTCAAGTGAAATTGCCTTGTGTCTCTACTTCAAGGTAAAAAACGAGGCCATTTTAGTGTACATTTCTCTCCTCTTTCTGTAGGCTTGAAGGTGTACTTCTATACTAGTGCAAAACTGAAACAAGGATCTTTGCACAAACGGGCTCGCACAGTTTCCTGTGCCTCTAACAGCATTGGCTTTTGTGACGAGGGCCTCGGCTCGTTCCTTTGGGGTAGTTCATTGGTTTGGGCCCTGCAGTGAAGTAATAGTCTCCAGTTCGTGGCATCTATCTCCCATCAGAATTCAACAATAGCTTCTCAGATAATAAACTAGAGGTATTAGGGAGAGAGGAAACACCTAAGTTGCACATTATTATTTCCTTAGATGGAAATGTTGTACCTATAAAAAATTACCAAGCAACATTTTTTTTCTAAATTTGGTGGAAATAACAAGGAGTTTATTAGAGTGATTAGGGAGGAGCAGCAGATTTTTTTTGAGTCGCTGTGAACTTTTAAACCGGTCGCTTGGCTGGTGTGCCTCCACTGTCTCTCCTGTTAAACAGAGATACTGTACTGCAAAGTTGAGATCAGTAATTTAATATTTGCAAAGCACTTCAGGAGCTTTTATGCTCTTCAAGTATTAGTTGAAAGTCCCTCAGGAAGGAGGTCCCATTTTATTTGTAATACTTTGATTGCAATGCTGTAATCTTGCATTTGAATATTGTTATTACAGAACCTGTAATATTTATATTGACTTTAAAGCACTTGATTTAGAAAACCCCCTGAGTTTATCTGCCTCAGTCAAATTAAAGTAGGGAGGTAAATGATGGATGTATGAGCCAAAGATGCAGACTACCAATTGACTGTCTACAGTGATACAGTATTTTGCTTTGATTTCTTAAAATTTGGCCTGTTGTAGTAGTAGCAATTACTATATATGCATCAGTTTATGGATGCCTCTAAATGGAATAAGCTTTGTCTAAGATATGCATGATTGTTTAATTGGTTAAAATGTAGTGTGTGTGGTCTTATTCAGCATATTTAATACAGAGGTGATTAATGAATGTTAACATTGGAATTGCTTAGATTTAGTCATGACAACTTTTTGCTGTAGCTGTTAGACAATCTCAAGGGCTGAAAAACAATCACTAATGAATGGATACTGTACCGTTCTGGCTGTCAGCAAATTTGTACAGCAATTTTTTTGTATCATTTCAGATTGAATTTATACAGTCCTTTAGAAGATATTTACAGTAACTACTGTATTCAAGAATGTATTTTGAAAAAGACTTGGAAAGTAACTGTCTTTGGACAAGCTATAGATGATGCTATGTATTTACTATATAGAAGTAACGCAGCTCAGTTGTGTAAACGTGATTTAGGTTGCTAGCCTCCGCTGTGCAGCTTTGTGGCGTGATAGTTGTGTGAAATTGTGGAGATTGCTGTAACCACCCACTCGGGCTCCAGCACTCGAAACTGCCGGTGGCCGTGAAGTCATTACAAGAGCTGATATTTCATCCTTTTCACTTCAAAAGGTTTCCTTCCTTCCTTTGCCCTCACTGCCTGCCTTTTGTTTCAAACATATTTTTTTTGGACGTTTTTCTTGCAGGGTAAGAGCACAAGGAAAGAAAGAAAGAAAAGAAACCCCTTCCTCCACGACCTGCTGCCCTAGCATGGGCAGCGACAGCATGCTGCAGTCTCTCTGCATGGGCGTTGTTTACTTCTGTTTTCCTTGTCCTTACCGGTGATGTTACGCAGGTGGAGTTGGAGGGAGGTATAATCGAGCTCTTCTCATTGATGTGATGAGTTCTGTCGTGAGTGGGGAAGAGATCTTCCGAACTAATGTGCATTGTTAGACTGCAAACAAATCAATGGCTATTATCTAAAGGGGTGATATATTCTGGTAGCTCATTAGCAATATTAATTCTGCAGCTGCATACCTTTGTGCCTTTTTTTGCCTGAAGTAAGTGTATATTCCCCTTGAACTTTAGATAAGTTGTTAGGATGCTGACGACTGCACCTTGTTTTCCTCTTACCTGCCAATATTTTCTTTATAAGCTTTTGTAGTAAGAACTCTCGCATAACGTCTAGAAACAGAAGTACTTAAACTAGGTACTGGGTGTACACTTTGAATGTTAGGCTGGTCGTAGTATGCAGCTTTTTTGAATATGAAGCGTGAGCAGGAAACTCAAATCATTATGTGTTTATTTTGTGTATATTAATTACAGTATATCATTAGTTCAGTGGGGAGGAGCATCTGGAGCTATCTTTTAAAAGCACAGCTGACATATGTACTGGATCAGTCCCCAAAGACTGGTAGTTTTGTAAATTGAGTTCAATTTTTGAACTGCTCAGAATACCTCATATGTAAATAGAGTTGTCATGACTTAATCACAATGTGTTCATTGTAAAAAGTAAAGGAGCCACTGGCTGGCTCAGCTTTAGGCTTGTTGTTCTTGCCTCTTTTTGTAATTTTTTTTAAAGTAGGGTTTACAGCTAGAATTTTGAATGCCAAAGTTCTATTTATTAAATAATAATAAAAGTTTTCATTGTTAATGACTGGTATTTTTCCACTGGAATTTGTTTGTTGATGTTTGGGATTTGTATCCACAGAGCAAAAATAAATTTTGTTACAAAAGTGATTTCTTCATGCTTCTCATTTGTCCAGTGTCTGGCATGTGACAGAAGTGACCAAAGCTGGACCAAGGGCAGAAGACAAGAAAGGAATCGTGAAAGATCTTCCCAACACCCACCCCAGCTTCCCTTCAGTGGTCTGTAGTTCTGCCTGAATACCACCTGACTGAGCTCTATTCCTGGCCTTAATTTTTTTAAAAAAATCAAGGCCTTGATAGCAAAAATATTACTTCAGTGTAGTGAAAGAATTTTAGAGCAGACTTCCTTGTGAAGTCCCTCATGCTTTTTTAGGCAGATGCTCCTCTTATCCATCTTGGATGCTGATTGGAGATATCACAGGTAGGACTTTTAAAAAAAAAAAAAACCCCGAAGTTGTCACAAAATAGTAGACAGGAGTTATGACAGCTAGTTTCAAAGTTGGTGAAAGATTCATCAGCGTTGGAACATGTGGTTGCCCTAAAGCCAGTCTCATAGGGCAAAAAAAGAAAATTGGATGGTGAAACAAAACCAGCAGTGGGTCCGGTACCAAGAAAAACACTGGCAATCAGAAAGGACAGAAAGGACAGAAAGGATCAGAAAGGTGTTTTTAATTATTATTCTTCAGTTAGAAAGCACAACTGGACGGCTGGCCAGGCCGAGCAGTAGTTAAGGCAGTCAGAAATCCCTGCT